GGCTGCTAACTGAAAGGTCAGCAGTTCAAATCTACCAGCTGTTCCGTGGGAAGAAGATGTGGTAGTTTGCTCCCATAAAGATTACAGCCTTAGAAACCCTATGGGGCAGTTCTACTCTGTCCTATAGGGTCGCTATGAGTCAGAATTGACTCAATGGCAATGGGTTTGGTTTGGTTATGGTCATGTTGTGTGTGTGTGTATACACACACATACATAAACATATACATATATAACTATACATATGTATATGTACATATATAAATATACATATGTATATGTACATATATAAATATACATATGTATATGTACATATATAATATACATATGTATATAATTTTTTTACATAATGCTGCATTGAATTCAGTGTTTTATTTTTTAGTTTTTCATTTATGTTCATAAGTAAGATTGACCTATAATTTTCTTGTACAGTCCTTGTTCACATTTGATATTAAGTTTATACTAGCCTCATAAAATATGTGGGACATACAAATAATCATGGTGGATTAATCAAACCCATTATTTCCTCTTCTTTTGAAAACCTCAACTAATTAACAGTAAAGGAATAAAACAGGAATAAACCCATAAAGACAAAGAAAATTGGATTAGAGAGAGGTGTCTGATGGATCTTCAACTATATTATTATTTTTTAAGACCTAAAGCAAATATAATAAAATATCAAGCTATGACTAAGCTGGGTTGTGGGTACATGGTTGTGTATTATATTTTCTTCACAATTTTCAGTTATGATTAAATATTTCTTAATGTCATAAAAGACATGAAAAATAAAAAGATAGTTTAAAAAAGTGATACATGCTCTAAAACACTGCTTCTCATACTTTAATGTGCATATCAATAACCTGGGGAATCTTGCTAAAATTCAGATTCTGAATTAGTTGGTCTGGAGTGGGGTTTGAAATTCCGCATTTCCAGCTAGCTCCCAGGTCAATGCTACTGATCCATGGACTTCACTTTGAATAGCAAGATGTTAAGGGAAACTAAACAAGGAAATGTGATAGAGAGTGGCAGGGACTTCCTCACATAAGGTGCTCTTGGAAAGCTTCTCTAAGCAGGTGAAATTTGAGTTGAGACCTGAATGTCAAGAAAATGCTATCCATTAGAAAGTCTACAGGAAGGATGTTCCAGGTAGAGGGAAACGCAAGTACAAAGACCCTGAGGTGGGAATAATTTCTAGAAACAGCAATGGGTTTGGTGACTATTGAATGTTTCTGGCTTCATGTTGTCTTGTTGATGGTAGATCAGTAATGGCCTCTTCTATCAGTGACCACATCATCATCAATGCATATTTATTCAACTAGCCTATGTAAAACTGTGGCCTTCTTGCAGTACTCAAGTGTTTCTTCCACATTTCAGGTGTAATTTAAAGAGCACTGGATTTAGAGTCAAGTCATAAAACCTAGATTTGGTTTCCGTCCCATTAGCTCTGTGATCTCTATCCAGTCAAAAACTATCTCATCCTCAGTTTCCTCATAAACATGGGAATAAATGTAATAAATTAATAAACAATTCCTATTCTCCAGGGTTGATGTGAGGATTAAATAAGGTATGAAAAAGCACTTTGTAAATTGTAAAATATTATACACATACAGGTATAATTATTGTATACCTTAAATTCTAGCATGTGATTTGTGGCTGTAGCATCTATTTATAGAGGCTTTTATTGTATGTACCTCTGCCTCTTTATGTCTGACTCTTACCGCAAATAAAGTTGACCTGTGTGTTGCTTCTGTTCCCCAGTGGTGCACAACTCTATCACTATACTTCATGTTCTATTTCTGGGTGCACTGGAAATTTTCTTTGTCTTATTTGGCTCAAGTCTGATCCACCTTAGTTAATCATACAGTAGCTGTTTGTGTATTCCAATGTTATTTGTATTTCTTAATCAGAGGAGTTGGCTTACAATGAGAACTACTTCAGTAAAAATATATTGACTCCATTCAAAGACCTCACAACTGTTGTCCCATACCAATAATTCCTGTAGGTGATTTTAATGAAACTTAAGGTTCTTGAGCAATCACCTGTAGGGTAAGATTTCTGCAGTCTTTCCTAATTTAAAATCTTATGATTCTATATTGCTCCTAGGGACCTGCAGTTAAATCTTGTGTTTGAGCATAGGCAACATTTTCTAGTGGAAAGAGCAATGGAATAGGAGCCAGAATACCATGGTTCTAGTTCTGGCTCTATCACCATCTGGCCCTGGTTCTCTTTTCCCACTAGAAATGACTAATAACACCCATAGACAGCTGCTATTAAGATCAAGCAAGATAATGTGTGTGTTTCTAAAAGTATAAAATATAAGATATTATGTTGTCACATTATATATGACAGTATATGTTGGTTGGGTTCCTACATTTTTTCAAAAAGTAGAACATTACTGGACAATGGCTTACCTGGGGCAGTGTGCATCCTTGATAGAAATCCTTGGCAGACATCCTAGTGTAGAGTGTTCTGTTTTACATAGACTAGATGAATAAATATTTATTGATAATGATGTGGTCACTGATAGAAGAGGCCATTACTGATCTACCGTCAACGAGACGATATGAAGCCAGAAACACCCAATAGTCACCAAACCCATTGCTGTCAACTCGATTCCGGCTCATAGTGACCCTACAGGACAGAGTAGAACTTCCCCATAGGGTTTCCAAGGCTGTAATCTTTATGCAAGCAGGCTGCCACATCTTTCTTCCTCAGAGTGGCTGGTGGGTTCGAACCCCTGACCTTTTGGTTAGCAGCCCAGCACTTAACCACTGTGCCACCAGGGCTCCTTATTAGTCATCAAGTCCTGTCAATTCTACCTTTTTAATATCTATGCAGTTGACCTACTGTCACTGCTCCTGCCAGGCTCAGGCCTTTATTTTATGACTGAACTATTGCATTAACTTCATGACTCCAATCAGAACTCTCTCCAATCCAGCCTTCCTATTTAAGCCAGAGTAGTTTAACGTACATATAAATCTGACCCTGTTACTTTCCTGATTAAAACCCTTCACTGGCTACAGGATAAAGTATTAGCTTCTTAGAATGAAATACAAGGACCTTCACCATCATGCCTCTGCTCACCCAGGCTCATCTCCTACTACACTGCCACACACTCCCTGCACTCCTGAATCTGAAAACAGTTTTCTTTCCTTCTTTTTTTTTAAAAATTGTGCTTTAGATGAAGGTTTACAGAGCAAATTAATTTCTCATTAAACAATTAATACACGTATTGTTTTGTGACATTGGTTGCCAACCCTACGATGTGTCAACACTCTCCCTTCTCAACCTTGGGTTCCCCATTACCAGCTTTCCTGTCCTCTCCTGCCTTCCTGTCCTTGTCCCTGGGCTGGTGTACCCCTTTAGTCTCCTTTTGTTTTATGGGCCTGTCTAATCTTTGGCTGAAGGGTGAACCTCAGGAGTGACTTCAATACTGCGTTAAAAGGGTGTCCAGGGGCCATACTCTCGGGGTTTCTCCAGTCTCTGTCAGACCAGTAAGTCTGGTCTTTTTTTGTGAGTTAGAATTTTGTTCTACATTTATCTCCATCTCTGCCCGGGACCTTTTATTGTGATCCCTGTCAGAGCAGTTGTTGGTGGTAGCTGGGCACTATCTAGTTGTGCTGGACTCAGTCTGGGGGAGGCTGTGTGAAAACGCTGTTTTCTTATGCCTTCTTGCTTTTAAACATGTCACCTCCTTTACATGGAATTTCGTTCAACCTCTTCAATTATAAAATTCTATATTGTTCTTTAAATAACTCAGCTGAATCATTCCTTCCCCTGGAAACCTGGTGTGTAATACGAATCTTGGAACAAAGTAAAGCTAACTGCAGGGGCTACACACGTTGCTGTCATTAGGTACCATCGAATCAGTTTGGACTCATAGCAACCCTAAGTACAACGGAAGAAACACTGCTTGGTCCTGCGCCATCCTCACAATGCTTGCTATGTCTTCATCAGACTTATCATTAGTCCACAGTGCCTCTAAAAAAACACAGAAACCAAAAAACCAAACCTGTTGCCGCCCAGTAGATTCTGACTCATAGCGACCCTATAGGAGTTCATAATTATTTGTCCGTCAATGTGAAAGATTTAAGGATGCAGCAATGAATATAAAATTGCAATTGCATTACGACCTCCAGGGTTTCAGGTGACATTTACACTTGGAAATGCAGTTTCCCAGGCAACTGTAAACGTATTTTGACATTATTTTATTTGATGGCAGTGATGACAAAAGAATATAAATTTATCTTTAAACATGGACTTCTCTACATACATTTTCACTTTACCATCCCTCTGTCAATCTAGCTGTTTGGCAATAATTAGGGACGCTGCAGAAAGCAAAGGGTAGAGCTAGAAAGAGAGGCAAATTAAGGTGAGTAAAGATGTGTGTGTTTGTAGCTGTCTCAAGGGCAATAGACCTAAAGGAAAACCGTCCCAAAGTTTGCGCGAAAGGGAAGAACTATTAGCCAAGTAAAAGCGCTTACCAGGTGGAGAGACGGTGAATCTAACAGACGAAGCCTCCTCCTGGTCGAAATTAATGCCTGTAGTTTAATGTGACTCTAACTATTGTCCACGGAGTAGTGAAGATAAGAATATGCATAGGGAAAATGGAGAGTGGAGCATGGTACTGAGTTGGAAGCAGTAAGAGAAGAGTTGAATGAAGGACATGATAGGGTTGCCAGATTTAGCAAACGCAGTATTTGGGAGATACTCAAACTAAAAAATGATTGGTTCTTTATGTGAAATTCAAATTTAACTGGTCGTTCAAATTTAACTCTAAGACAAAAAAGAAAGAAAACGCTTCCTCGATATTCCAGGTTTTGTAAGAACAAACACCTCAGATAAAACCTGTTTCAGGTGTTGGGTCCTGGGAAAACGAGGGGGGATGGGAGAGACGATTAAGGGAGCCGTGTTTGGTCCGCCCATGTCCCACAATCCTCTGCTTTCGGTTCCTCTTTCCTCGCTCAAGATGGCGCTGCTCGCTGTACCTTTTTGGCGCTGGGCAGCCGCGGCGGCTACTTTCGAAAAACGCCGACGCTCAGCGATTCTGATCCGGCATCTAGTCTCTGTTCGCGGGTCAGTTCCGCAATGGAGGTCACGTCAGCTAGGCGCCTCGGGAAGCGCTGGAATCTACCAGGTGAGATGGCGTTCACGTGGAAGATAGGGTGAAGGGTAACGGGACCTATGGGGAAAGAGGTTGCCCTAGTGACCTCGGGTCAGAGAGAGTTCCAAGAAGATTGTCAGAGCTAACCCGGAGCAGCAGTAAGTGAAGCAAGTTAGGGTTAGTAATTAGAAGAGCGGGTGAAGAAAACCTTTGGCGACTGCAAATGGGAATGGGAGCGGGGGTGACCAGGCAGAGGGCGCGTAGGGCCCTGGTGACTCGTAGAATTTTCTTTAAGAGTTGGGATAGATACCATTCCCGCCTGCTTACCTTTCTAAATGAAAAAGCAAAGTGGGCAACTTCCCAGAGTTTGGAATTTGGGACCAATTTGCCTGTGGTTCAGATTTAACTCAGTCGAAAGTACCAAGTTGGACACTGTAGGATGACGGCAAGCTACTTATAAATAAGTGGCAAATTGAGTTAGCACCAGTTAGCTCCCTTGTTGACAGGCAGTGCTCCTTGATAGGCCAAAACTGTAATTATCTTTTTCTCCAAAAGATAGACCGCCCTGAATTCATATGTAAACATGACTACCAGTTGATCTGAAAATACAGTTGTTTTTCTGTGTGCACGGATCCCTTTGGGAGCCATAAGGCTACTTGTCCTTAACTAATGAATGTAGTAGCTATCTGTGGTTGTAGCACGTCTCTTTATGTTTGCATCTGTTACTACCTCTCGCTCAAGAACAGTTTTTTGATTATTTGTTTTTGATGTATTTCAGTATATCTTTTTATTTTCTATATATTGACAAAAATATATATTTTCTATATATTGCCCCTACTTGTTCATCAGTATGACTTTAAAGTATTGTCAGCTTTGTAAGAGGAACAGATAACCTCTTAAATTTTTATTCTACGATGACAAATATTTAACGTCTGTTAATGGTACCAAGAGAAACAGATCAGTTATGCCTTCAAAAACTGTACAATTTAGTTAAGGAGGTTGAACCTGTTCATTACAAGAATAATTAACAAACTGAGATATTAAGTTAAATATCAGATACATAGTATGAACAATAAAGGGTTATAGGCATCCAGAGGAAATAGTGATAATTAGGATCAGATTATAGGGAAGCTCTCATGCTGCTAATAGAACTGGGGAAAACATTCCAAGCAGTGAGAATAGTGGATGACACTAGACTGTTGTTGTTTGATGCCATCGAGTCGGTTCCGACTCAGCGACCCAGTGTACAACAGAAGGAAACACTGCTGGATCCTGCACCATCCTCACAATCGTTGTTATGCTTGAGCCCATTGTTGCAGCCACTGTGTCAATCCATCTCCTTGAGGATCTTCCTCTTTTTTGCTGACCATCTGCTTCACCAAGCATGATGTCCTTCTCCAGGGACTGATCCCTCCTGATAACATGTCCAAAGTATGTGAGATGAATTTTCGCCACCCTTGCTTCTAAGGAGCATTCTGTCTGTACTTCTTCCAAGACAGATTTGTTCGTTCTTCTGGCAGTCCATGGTATATTCAATATTCTTTGCCAATACCATAATTCAAAGGCATCAGTTCTTCTTTGGTCTTCCTTATTCATTGTCCAGCTTTCACATGCGCATGAGGTGATTGAAAACACCATGGCTTGAGTCAGGCACACCTTAGTCCTTAAAGTGACATCTTTGCTTTTTTAACACTTTAAAGAGATCTTTTGCAGCAAATTTGCCCAATGTATTGCATCATTTGATTTTTTTTTAAATGTGCATTTAACAGGGATCAAGGAATGATTATAAAGCTTTCAGAGTTGAAGCTGATGTAACCTGAGGCACCTTCAACTTAATTAGTGACCTGTTATTAAGATTACAAAATAAATATTGAATGCATACTTTTAGGATAATCATTAGTATATAGCATAGTATTTTATAGCTGAAAGGAACTTTAGTACACAGTGTTATGAAATTATTTTAATGAGTCGAATCAGCACTTTTCTTAGATGAAATTCAGTAGACCGGAAAAGAAAATGTCAGTGCTTCACATATAGTAAAGGAAGTATTGTTTTATGAACTTTTGTTCATGTGTATATACACACACCCACATGTATGTGATTACTGGAATGCATTGCAAGATGTATTTTTCACCCAGAATCATGCAATAGAGCTGTGTTGTGCAATATGGTAGCCACTAGCCTCATGTGAACGAGCCCTGGTAGCGCAATGGTTAAGCATTCGGCTGCTAACTGAAATGGCGGCTCAGACCTACCCAGCAACTTTGTGGGAGAAGGACCTAGAGCTCTGCTTCATTAAAGATTGTTGTTGTTGTTGTGTGCCATCCAGTCGATTCCGACTCATAGTGACCCTATAGGACAGAGTGGAACTGCCCCACAGGGTTTCCAAGGAGCGGCTGGTGGATTCGAATTGCCGACCTTTTGGTTAGCATCCGGAGCTCTTAACCACTTCGCCACCAGGGCTCCAAGAAAACCCTATAGAGCAGTTCTGCTCTGTTACATGGGGTCACTATGAGTCAAACTGACTCAACAGCAACTAACAATAACAACAATAGGTATATTGGTATAGCCTCATGTAACTATTTAAATTTAAATAAAATAAGAGAAAATTAGTTCCTCAGTTGCACTGGGAACATTTCAAGTGCTCAATAGCCACATGCAACTAGTAGCTACTGTATTGGATAGCACAGATATATATTTCCATCATTGCAGAAAGTTCTGTTGGGCAGTGCTGATTTAGAGACTATCATATCCAGCCCCTCTAATTTTGCAGATGAGGAAACTAAGTCCCTGTGTGGATAAATAACAGGCTTCAAGGCCATTTATTTCTTCATTTATTGCTTTCTGTGTGTCAGGTACTTATATAAGGGTAAATAAGACTGACAGACAGTAGCCCCACAAAATGTTTCTTGAGTTATAAAGATACTTGTCTAATAATTACTAAGGTACTAGTAATGGAGGGAAATGCCTTAATAATAAAAATAATCCTTAAGTTAGAAGATTTTGTATGATAATATTTATTATATAGTGTCCTCTCTACTGTTGTAATATGCTGTCAAGTCGATTCCAACTCACAGTGACCCCACAGGACAGAGTAGAACTGCCTCATAGGGTTTCCAAGGAGCAGCTGGTGGATTCAAACTGCTGACCTTTTGTTTAGCAGCCTGAGACTTTATAGAATATTAATAAAATTTATTTTATAAATATTTAAATGATAGAAACTGAGGCATCATAGTTTCTCTTAGCACCATTTATCCAAGTTTAAAGAACTCTGCTGTATTGATCCTGACACAGATCACGCTTTTTCTTGATTTGTTTTTTTTAAACAGCTTTATTGAGATATAATTCAAATACCAAACAATACACCCATTTAAAGTGTACAATTCAGTGGATTTTAGTGTATTCATAGATATGTACAGCCATCACCACAGTAAATTTTAGAATGCTTTCATCACCTCAAAAGGAAACTCTGTACCCTTTGGCTATCACCTCTCTATGCCCCCACCCCTCCCAGCCTTAAGCAACTACTAATCTACTTTCTGTCCCCATAAGTTTGCTTATTTTGGACATATAAATGGAATCATAGCATATGTGGTCTTTTGTAACTGGCTTCTTTCACTTTGCATATTTGCATGTTTTCAGGGGTCATCCACTTTGTGGCATATATCAGTACTTCTTTTTTATGGTTGAATAATATTCCATTGTATGGATACACCACATTTTCTTCATCCATTCATCAGTTAATGGACATTTGGATTATTTCCAACTTTTGACTGTTACAGATAATGTTGATAGAAACTTTTATGTACATGTTTTTGTGTGGACATATGTTTTCATTTCTCTTGGGTATATGCCTAGGAGTAAAATTACTGGGTCATATTGTAATTGCTTGACAGCAACTGGTAAATGTAACTATGTATAATCATTTGAGGAACTGCTAGACTGTTTTCCGTTCCCACCAGCAGTGTATGAGGGTTTCAATTTCTCCACATCCTCACCAACACTTGTTATTATTATCTGACATTTTGATTCTAGCCATCCTATTGGATGTTAAGTGGTATATCATTGTGGTATTCATTTTCATTTCCCTGATGACGAAAGATGTCAAGTATGTTTACATGTGCTTTTTGGCCATTTGTGTATCTTCCTTGGAGCAATGTCTATTTAAGTTCTTTTCCCATTTTTTAATTGAGTTATTTATCTTTTTATTATTAAGTTGTAAGAGTTCTTTGTATATTCTAGATACAGGTCCCTTATCAGATACATGATTTCTGAATTTCTTCTCCCATTCTGTGGGTTGTCTTGTCACTCTCTTGATAATGCCCTTTGAATCACAAAAGTTTTTAATTTTGATATTTTTTCTGCTTTGTCATGAGTTTTGAAATTGGGAAGTGTGAGTTCTCCCACTTTATTCTTCTTTTTCAGGATTGCTTTGGCTGTTCTGGAAACCCTGGTGGTGTAGTGGTTAAGTGCTATGGCTGCTAACCAAAAAGGCAGCAGTTCATATCAACCCGGCGCTCCTTGGAAACTCTATGGAGCAGTTCTACTCTGTCCTATAGGGTCACTATGAGTCGGAATCGACTCCAAGGCAACGGGTTTTGGCTATTCTGGATCCTTTCCAATTCTATACAAATTTAGAATCAGCTTGGCAATTTGTACAAATAAGGCAGCTGGGATTATGGTAGGAATTGCTTTGAATCTGTAGGTTAGTTTGTAGAGTATTGCCTTCTTAGCAATATTGAGTCTTCTGATCCATGAAAATGGGATGTGTATTTAGTGCTTTCTTCATTTCTTTCAACAGTGTTTTATAGTTGCAGAGTAACAACTTCTGTCTAGTGTTGCAATTCTTTTGTTAAAATTATTCCTAAGATTTTTTTTTGATGCTGTTATGAGTGAAATTGCATAATTTCATTTTCGGATTGTTGATTACAAGTGGATAGAAGTACAATTGATTTTTATTATTGATGTTGTATTCAGAAACCTCACTGAACTCATTTATTAGTTCTAATAGTTTCTTGGTAGATTCCTTAGGA